ACGAGCCTCGCTCTGGACACCCAAGCACGTCAACAACTGATGAAAACGTTCAAGCAGTGAAGAAAATTGTTCTGGAAAATCGTCGAACCACTATCAGAGAAGTTGCTGAGGATGTTGGTATATCGCTTGGCTCGTGCCATGAAATTTTTTCTAACGTTTTGGGCATGAGACGTGTGTCAGCGAAGTTTGTTCCGAAATTGCTAAATTTTGACCAAAAGAACCGTCGCATGAGCATCGCTCAAGAACTGTTGAATGACGTCAACGACGACCCAGATTTACTCAAAAGGGTCATAACTGGTGATGAATCATGGGTATATGGTTATGATATCGAAACCAAAGGTCCAATCGTCCCAATGGAAGAGCCCAGATGAGCCAAGACCAAAAAAAGCACGCCAAGTTCGATCAAATGTCAAAGTTATGCTCACTGTTTTCTTCGATTACCATGGCATGGTGCATCAGGAGTTCTTACCATACGGACGTACGGTCAATAAACAGTATTATCTTGAAGCTATGCGTCGTTTGCGAGAAGCAATACGAAGAAAACGCCCAGAATTGTGGAAAAACAATTCATGGCTTTTGCATCACGATAATGCCCCTGCTCACTCATCTTTGCTTGTGAGAGATTTTTGGCCAAAAACAACACCACAATCATGCCTCAGCCACCATATTCACCGGATTTGGCCCCATGTGACTTTTTCTTGTTCCCAAAACTAAAGAAACCTATGAAAGGACGGAGATTTGCAACGATTGAAGAGATAAAGACTGCATCGCTGGAAGAGCTCAAGGCTATACCGAAAATTGCTTATGAGAAGTGCTTTGAGGATTGGAAAAACCGTTGGCATAAGTGTATTGTATCTGAGGGGGATTACTTTGAAGGGGACAACATAAATATTGATAAATAAATAAATATTTTTTCTTAAAAATACAAAGTCACCTTACTTTTTGAACACACCTCGTATACTTAAATAGTACTAACTATGATTATATAAATATACATATTTTTGTCTTAAAACTACCTTCACCAAAAAACTCCAAATCAAAAAACCAAAAATAGTGTTTAACCTACAAATGTAAATAAACATAAAAAAAATCAATTCCATGTAATAATAATAAATTGCTAAGTTAACATATCACTATCCAGATAAAGATCTCTCTAAACAGCCGAAATGGCGTTTTAACAAAACATGGAATTATAATAGAAAACAACGATCGATAAAATGTATTTTCATGTTATTGATAATCTTGTTAAAATTTATATACCATAAAAATATTTTCTAATCCTAGATTGTGCATTTTTTTTTAAGAATTCCTTTGAAAGAACAATTTAAATAAAAAAAAAAGTAAAAAGAACCATAATTATTTGTTACGTTAATGCTGATAAATATTACTGCTCAAAAATTATATTTTCGCTGGTTGTTACTAAAAAAAAGTCAGCAATAACATATCCCATGTTTTTTTAAATCATTCCTAATTCTACTTACGATAGTTGTTAATTTTTGCTGTCATTGTGAGAAATCTCAATTGTTGGAACATTTTCGTACATTTAGATTACATTTTACGATTCTAGTAATTACCATTAAGAGAATAATAAATAATTAATTTACTTTATAAGGTGATTTAAAATAAATATTGATTTAGTATCATCGGACTTAAGAAAGATAGGCTATTGAAAAAAAATGTGTTTAACAATTGAGTAATTGAATAATTCATATTGTGATGTTCGTATCACTTATAAATAAAATAATTCGAACTCTCGTAATCTAGCTAATGAGTAAGAATTTGTTTCCAATGATTTTACTCTAATTGTCAATAAAATAGATAAGTAAATCAAATGCAATTAATAAGTAAATCGAATATACATAAATAAATACAATGTTTCGAGGAAAGTCAGACAATGCCCTAGTTTCTTATGGTGCGAATTGTCCCATAAGCAGAGCTAAAGTCTTTCTTTGATAGGATATAATTCGGCCCAAGTTTCTTATAGCGCGAGATGTTCTATAAGTCGAGCTCAAATTATAAGGAAAGGATAGTCTTACTCAGTTAATCACAATGAGAGAAAGAACTTAGGTATAATCCAAGTTTATTCAGACTCCTGCGCTCACCTTGCAAGGCTAGAAGTGAATGCTAGCCTGTGCAAAGGTGGGCCTATTTATACACAGATTTTCCCGCTTATTTTTGCAGGAGAGATTTCATCGAAAATTCGAGAGACATTCGCGAATTTTGAGAAATGAGTTTTCTTAATTTACAAGTAAATAACCATTAATATTAAGTTTTTAACACATGTAAACTTTACGGAATTTGTTATTTGTTGATTTTATACAATATACAATTATCGTCAATAGTGTCGTCAAAAGTTATTAACTAATAAAGTTAATTAACGTGATATTACAATATTTACAATAGAAAATTATTAAAATTTCATATAACTTTATAGTTGATTAATTTTGGAGGTATTCTCCAAAATTAATTATTTAAATTAATTAATAACATTTGAATTATGACTAATTTTTCATATTTGTCACGGTTTTTTCTAATCTTAATATGCAATTCTTAGATTAATTATCTAAGATTTCTAAATCATAAAGTTATCATTATCAAAGTATAAACTTAATATTTTCGTTCTATATATAGCTAATTGTTTAAATAAATTATTAATTGTTTATTTACTAATAACAGTTATTATTCAGCTGTTATTAATGAAACCAATTCTTACTCATGTTCTATGCTTATTCACTTTTCATATGAATTATTTACATTTTTCTAATATTTCGTAATAAATAAATCAACTTTGCATATTGATATTCATTATTATTTCATAATTGGATGTGATTTTTGTTATAATATTATGAATCTACATGCTAAAATCTATATAATCAATACTTTGTTATATTAAAATTATCTCTAATTAACATATTTTTCTTAATATCCTAAATCATTATATTTATGTCTATTACTTTGTGACGTCACGCTGTTTATTTTGATTCGACTCCTATTTGTATGCAATCGCGTAAACAGTGAGGTAGCGCCGCTTAATGTATTGTTTTGAATAAACAGATAGATACGTTAGACTTGTTGCAGTCATTCAGTGATTTAATAAATAGCTCATATATAGGACCGTTACAATATCAAAGAGAGTATACATCGGTCAACTATGAAAGTGTAAGCGTTGGGAACTTTTCAAGGTTACTAAACATTTTAATTCGATAATACCAAACTCTTCATATGTTTTTGAATCACCCTGTATAAAATTACGAATCGTTGCTATTACATTTGAAATGTATTTCTTTGAGAGTTGATTGCAATTATAAACTTTCCGATTCTTCAGTTTTTTCCATTATGGTAAGTTAAGTCCAAGTTTCGACTTTGAGAGTCCCTTTTTTGGCCCTCGTTCCCTGCTCACTCATATTTTTTGTAAAACAATTAGTTATCCAATCGGGGCAAAGAGCCATTAGGATGAGATAAAAAAATTATTTTTCTATAGATTTTAATCATGAATTATCAGAAAAAAATTCTTTAGTTACCTTCTACATCTATTCCGTCGGTATGTATAATTCCTATATTCATCCACATTACTATTAGTCATATGGCTTGTATGAAAAACTATTATATAAATTTGAAAATATAATTGACTCGTCCGTAACATTTACACGTCATTTGAGGAAAAAAATACTTTTCGATACTCCATGCGCAAAGTACGTCTTTCCTGCACGCTCGGCAGAAAACATGCGTTGAAAATCGCACTTTCCACACGTCGTATCAAAAAACTCGCTTCGCTCGGGCGTAAACGCCACACGAGACAAGAATCTACTTTCTCGCACTTGTATGGTACTATTGTGATGTACACTTGTAATGTACTATTCCAAGATTCACGATTAAAATTTCACAAGTTGACCTAAGAACAGGTATATATATCCAGACGTAGCTAACGTAAAAAAACTACATCCTAACCTGGCATGACAACAAGAGGCAATATACGAATAGGTAATAAAGTTTAGAACGATAATACTTTGTAAAAAGAAATCTTTGCAAGAACGTGGAAAATCATTTTGCTTTTGTGATTTTTATATAATATGTGATAATAAATGTTGATCATTAAGAATGTGAACAATCACAAAAGCAAAGTGATTTTTCACATTCTTAATGATCAACATTTATTCAATAACGAAAACTGATAGCGAATCGGCTTCTTATACTAAGCAACCAAACTAGTGATAAAAATATATGTATTCCATCGCCATTCATAACTAGTTTATTTATAAATTTGCTCATCCTATTGTTTTTGAGAAACCAAATAAGTACTTGGCTAAATGTTATCTGATTATTCAATATTCTATTAGACAAAATATATATTTTTTTTTATGAACTAAAAAGATTCTATATATATATATATGTGTCTATTAAAAAAAGCTGCGATTAGTATACTCAAAATAACATTAAAAAAATAATAAAGATATATTTCGATGGATTTAACCTTTATATTAAAATGGATAACAATTATGTTTTTTATTAAAAAATTAATATCAGGAAGAGGTTTTTGTACTTAAAATTATATGTTCATTTCCATAAATCAGGTGAACCATAAATTTATTCAAAACGTTGTTAAAACACCATTTCTTGCATTTAAAACAATTCCCTGCATGTAAATAAAAATCATAAAATTACATGTATACAAATTTTGATTATTCTTACCACTATCAGTTCAGTCTCGATTTTAAGATGAATAATAATAATATTCCACCTGGAAATAATTAATAAATGCCTCCTAAATGACTAATTTTTACTCGTAAGCTCAGCTCATATAATCTCAGAGAAAAATATTAGCTTGTGACTTCGCGCCAAATTGCACTCGAGATCGGGAAGCACGGAATGAGAAGAATAGAAAAATTTGCTCGGTAGAGCGTATGGAAGTTGTCTGCGTATCCAGCTTCAGAGAGCCTTTTTTTCCAAAGTAAACTATCGAAACTCCACATTAAATGTATGTATATAGTCATGGAGTCACCATGCCATGGCTTCAATCCAATTGCGTTAGTTTAGTTATTAAGATTGGTTCGGATTAATATCACTTTTTTTATTCTGTTTTCAATTTCTGACGCCCATTTTAATCATTAATCACGTAATAAAACAAATATTCTGAGAATATTTGATAGTTTTTAATTTTAGAAGTTACCTATTTTTAACTGAATATATTCCTATCATATGCCATATCTAATTATATTTATATGTGTTTTAATTAAGCACAAATTTTGATTCGAATAGTATTATAATATGGCTTCTTTTAAAAAAATAAATCATAAAACACTTATGAAATCGAGTGTAGATTTAATACCTGATAATTATTATTGGAAAAATTATGGTGTAAGTTTTCAGTATTAAATATATGAAAATAAATAAAATTTTATATATCAACTTCAATTCGGAAGTTAATTTGTAAATAAACTTTTTGTAGGTTTCAGTGTTACTTAAAGAATTTGGACCAATTGATTTTATTGACTTTTCACCAAAAGATCCACATTGTTTTGCTGTTACTTGTTCTTGTCGAGTACAAATATATAATCCAATAACTAAAATACTTTCCAAGAACCTTAATAAATTTAAAAAAGCAGCTTATGGAGGATCTTATCGTAAAGATGGTGAATTGATTTGTGTTGGTGGAGATGAGTCAGTTATCAAAGTATTTAATGTTCATACCAGAAATCCTTTAAGAATATTTGCTGGACATACTAAACCTATTCATAGGACTTTTTTTACTGTAGATGGAAATAGAATCACATCATTTTCAGATGATAAATCTACAGCAGTGTATGATATTATGAGTGAAAAGGAACTTATTTCTTTTAAAGAACATCGTGATTATGTTAGAGCTGGTTGTGTCAGCCCGGTTAGTCCCGATATTTATTTATCTGGAGGTTATGACAATATGGTGAATATGTATGATATAAGATTACAGAAAAAAATATTTTCATTTAATCATGACTTTCCAGTTGAAAGTCTTTTATTTTTACCTAGTGGAGGAATATTTTTGTCAGCTGGTAATTATAATTTTTCAATCAAATAATTTATAGTTTTTTCAACTCATTTAATTTTATCAAATGTTATTAACAATAAACAAATAACTTTACTGTTATTGGGTTAAATATTACAATGAAAAATGTAATGTGTATCAAGAAATTCTCAAAGTTCTTAAAGTTTATATCAAATTTTAATATTGGAAAAATACCATTTTTTAATCAGTGTCTTGTGGGCCAACAGACCAATTTGTAAGCCAATGTATGCATGATATATCGTTCTTGTGGTATTTTTTATGTACACTTCTGGGCAATAATGCATATGCTCACTTATTGGATTATTACTTTGCGTATGCTCCCTAGTATATGCTTCCATAGATATGCTGTTTTACATATGCCCTGTCAGTCCAAGAAATAAACCCCCACATCAAAAATTGTTCAATATTATTAATAAATATTGAAGTTATAGATTAGGTAGTAAATATAAAATTTGAGTACGCATATCCAGTTGCATATACTTTTTGTAAATATTTAAAACAAATTATAGCTACAATATGCTAATAAAATAAGTCCACATGAATATCCATTAAGCATCTCAAAAAAATTATTTTTTCAATAATTTACTTGCAATGTAATATGGGTTTCGAACATCAGTAGACCTATTAATTTTAGAAGTTGTACAGATGAAATCTTATAAAATATAGTTCATCATTGCTCTTTAACAAACACTAGCATACATTACTTGGTTTTCACCAAATGACTTAGCAATTTTGAGTATTAACTCATAATTCTTCTTATATATATAAATATTTGTATGTTAATATAAACAATATAATTATCATTAACAACCTAATTATTTCTACAAGGACTGATGTTTAAAATTCTTGATGTTTATTTTTTGATTATAATAATCATCAGCTCAAGCAAAATATCACTATTTAATATGATACTATCTAGCATAAAAAATTGCACACAATTGTTACTGATTTAAATTCATGATCTACAGTATGTGTTTGATTAACAATAACTTAAGAAAGCATTATGAATTTGTGATAGCCTTATATTACTCCATTGATTTGACATACACAAAATTTGGGTCTAGTCTTTATATCTCTATTTTGATTGAGAATTACTTTAATTTACTTGTTTAATATTTTTAGGGGGTACTGAAATAAGAGTATGGGATTGCCTTTCGACTGGAAAACTTTTAGCCAAGATTTCGCAACATCACAAGACAATAACAAGTTTGCAATTAGCATCTGGCGGGCAGAGAATACTGTCGGGGTCATTAGATAAACACATCAAAATTTATGATTCTGGAACATTTAAGCTAATCCATACATTGGAATATCCTAATCCAGTACTAAGCATTGGTGTTAGTGTAAGTAGAATATTTCTTTCTTTTTTTGTTTTTCAATATTTGATCACTACTCAACAAATTAATTGTATTTAAATCTCAACCAAGATAGTTTATAGAAAGTGGAAAGATATTTTCTTTTCGTCATTCAATAAATTCGTTCTATCAATGATTTATTTATTTATTAATTTATTTTTTAAGAATGAATTAATGCACAATAGTGGCTAGTCTTCTCGATTTTTGATTTAAATGTATTTAACACTAACAAATTTGTAGTGTTTTGGGATTTAGTAATCATTTTATAAAGGAGGAAGATTCTAGTGAAATTTTAACCTGATTTTACAGTACAGTCATTTTAGTATAAAAAACAATTAATTTTATATTCTTTCCAAATAGCAAATTATTTGCTTTCATCGTAAACGTGTCGGAACACTCATTATTTAAAATATTAAGATAGAAAATAACATCTTACATTATTTGCAAAATTTAAAAAAAATATATATATTGAGTTTATTCAACTTAATGTTACAATGTTTATTTATACATTTACAATATACATTTCAATTTTGTTGAGTGACGTGTCTTGTTTCTTGTTAGTGTTTTGTGTTGTATTTGTGTGTGATCGTGCTTTGATGATTTAGTGTTTTTTCTTTTTCTTTGCGCTTCCTTTTCCTCTTCTTTCCTCTGTCCGTATTAGGGCTTTTACACCTTTACTGCGGTATCCTCCGCTCCCTCTGCTTTCACTCATGCTTAGTACGGTTCTCTCTTACCGTTTTCTTTCTTCTCTCTTTTCACTTTTCTTTTTCTTTCTCTTTTTCTTCTTCTTTTCTTCTTCTTTTCCACTTTAGATCCCTCATCCATGCTATTTTTTCTTTGCTCCCAACCATTATTTCTTCCCACTTTTCTCCTTCTTTTCTTGTCATTTCGCATTTTTCTACTATGTGTTTCCAGTCTTCCTCTTCTTTTTGGCATAATTTACATTTCCTATTTTCCTCTTTTTCCCAGTATCTACACCCTCTTGTCTCGTTCCCTAACCTAAACCTCTCTCTTATCTGTAGCCCTCTTATTTTCCCTTCATTTTGTATTTCTATTAGTCTACTCTTCTTCATTTCCTCCCTTATCCCCTTCCACTCTCTTATATATCTTGATTCTTCCATCTTGTCTTCCATTTCTTTTTCTTCTTTTTTCTTCAATTCTTCTCTTACTTCTTCCCAGAACTCTTCTCTTTCATCGTCTCCTTCTTCTCTCTCTCTGTATTTTTTACTTTCCCCTAGTCTTTCTTCTCTCTCTCCTTTTTTTTCATTTCTTTCTTCTCTTTTCTTTTCGTTTCTCTTCATTTCTCTCCATGCTTCTTTCTTTATTGTTCCATCCCTCTCTTCTTTTATTTTATTTTCATATCTCATCGCTCTCTCTATTGCTTTTTCTTTTATTTCTTTTCTTCCTGTTTCCCATTTTATCAGATAACTCGGTGTGTTTCTGTCCAAACCCAGTACCCATTTTATATATTTCATTTGTAGTCTTTCTATTTCCTCGTATCTTTTCCATCCCCATATTTCTGCTCCATACATTATCACGCTTTTCATTAACGCATCAAATAACATCATCCTTAGCTTCCAATTTTCTTTAAATAATCTTTCTCCCAACCCCCATACTTTTCCTAGTCCCATATTTATTTTACCTTCTGTTTTCTTTATATGTCCCTTATTCCCATTATTTTTGTTTATTATGTATCCCAGATAGTTATATTCTTTTACCATTTCAATTTTCTTTCCTATCCACTCAAAACTTTCTTCCTTTCCTCTTCCTCCTCCTTTCTTACATTTCATCATTTTTGACTTTTCTACGTTTAATTCCAACCCTCTTTCCTCTAAGAATCTCCTTAGTTTTTTCAGCATCTCTTTCATCCTATTTTCATTATTTGCCATCATTACTATATCATCCGCGTATCCTATCGTCCAAATTTTCTTTCTTCCTATTACCACTCCTCCTTCCTGAATTTTACTCATTTTATCTTCTAACTCCGCAAAGGCAAGATTAAATAGCGTGGTGCTCAGCGGGCACCCTTGCCTTACTCCCTTTTCTGTGTCGAATTCACCTATTATCTCTCCTCTAATTTTTATTCTGCATCCTGTTTCCTTGTATATTTCTTCTATGCTTCTTCTGATTCTTTTATCTATTTCTTTTTCCTTCATTATTTCCCATATCTTCTTTCTTCTTATCTTGTCAAACGCTGCTTTCATGTCAGCGAAGAAGACAAACAATTTCCCACCTTTTTCCCTGATTTCTTTTCCTATTGCCGTTTTTAGCACGTATATTGCGTCTGTTGTTCCTCTTTTTAGTCTGAAACCCATTTGCGTATCGCTTAGTATTCCTTTTTCTTCTATCTCTTTATCTAGTCTTTTCCTTACTATTTCTGCATATATCTTATATCCTGTGTCCATCAGCGTTATACCCCTATAATTGCTTACTTCTTCTTTTTTTCCTTTCTTGTATATTGGTATTATTATTCCCTTTCTCCATTCCTTCGGGTATCCTTCTCCATTCCATACTCTATTTAGACATTTTGTCAGGTCATTTATTAGGCTTTCAGTCCCAGCCATCCACGCTTCATTTGCAATCCCATCTTCTCCTGTTGCTTTTTTCTTTTTCATTCTCTTTATCACCTCTACTACCTCTTTTACTTCTATTTCCCCTCTTTCTTCTTTTTCCCCCCTTTCCCATTCTTCTCTTTCTTCTTTTTTATTGTCATCCTTTTCTTTTTCTCCCAGCTGCTTCTTGAAGTGTTTTAGCCATTCCTCATTGCTTATTTTTTCATCTATTTTTGCTCTTTTTTTCTTTCCTCCGCTCACTTTTTCCCAAAATTTCCTTCTCGTTCTATCTTTGCTTATTTCCTCCGCCACTTTCCTTCCTTCCTCTTCTTTTGCCTTTCTTATTTCCTCTCTGTATTCCCTCTTTGCTTCCAGGTAACCACTTCTATCCCCAATTCCTCTTCTTAGTTCTTTCAGAGCATTCATTACCTTGTCTCTTTTTACCTTACATTTTTCTCTCCACCAGCTTTTTCTTGTTCCTTTTTTACTCCTTATTTTCTTTTTTGTTATAGCGTTCTGCACTCTAATTTTTATCTCTTCCCATTTTTCCGTTCCTTCTACTGCTCCTATCCATCTGTGATACTCTTTTATTCCTTCTTCGCTCCAGTCTTCTCTTAACCTTTCTTCTTCTCTGTTTTCTTCTTCTTCAACCCTGTTTTCTAGCTCCACTTCTACTGGTAGGTGATCCGAATTGATTCTCTCTCCCATTTGCATTTTCTTCACTCTCTCTTCCCCTCCTATATTTCCTATTACGTAGTCAATCGTCGACATCCCTCTCGCTCCTATATATGTAATTTCTCCCTCTTCATCTCCCTCTTTTTTTCCATTCATAATCACTAATCCCGTCTCTCCTAGCCATTTAACCATCTCTTCCCCTTCTGCGTTTATCATACCATCCTTTGTTTTTATTTCTTCTGTCTGTCCTTCGCTATCCCATTCTCTTCCTTCGCCTCCTGTTCTAGCGTTAAAATCTCCTCCTATTATTAATATTTTACCTCTATTTTCCTCTATTTCTTCGGTTAGGTACTCATAATTTTCTTTTTTCTTGTGCTGCATGTAGACTGATGCCACCGTGCATTTCTCTCTCTCTATCTCTATTTCCCCTACTATGACTTCTTCTGTCCTTTCTTTCTTCCATTTTACCTTTATTCTCCCTTGTCTTTCTCTTACTGCTATCAGTCCACCCCCTATCTCCCTACCCCTTTTTCCTTCCCTTCTCGAGTCCCTCCATTCATTGATATACCCATTCAGATTTCTTTCTATTCCTATTTCTGCTTCTTCTCTTTTCACCCATGTCTCCGTAAGTCCTACTATATCAAAATTTCTAATATATTTCCAGTCCTCTTCTTCCAAGCTCTTTATTCCCGCCACATTCCAAAATAACATTTTTACTGTTTTCCTTCCCTTCACCTCTTCTCTCCTCTCTCCTCTCCCCCCTTTAATTCCGAAACCCCTCCCTTCCTTTCTTTGTCATTCTCTCCTCTCTCTCGTTCCACCTCCACTCTTCCTCCCCTGCTCTTAGCCCATTGTGCCATATTTTAACTTCCTTACCCTTATTTTTCAATTCCCTTGCTTTTCTTCTTACCTCCTCTCTTATTTTCCTTTGTTTCCATGTCCAGTCGTGATCTATATAAATTTTTTTCTCCCCTAATTTACTTTTTTTCTTCATTATTCCCTCCTTTTGCTCTCATGAGGCACACTTTATTTGCCACATCCTCTTCCTTCTATACTCCATCCCTTCCTGTCTCTGATTTGTTTCTGATCCTCCTATGCTCCTTAGGCTTATTATTTCCCCCTTTATTCCCATTCTGTCCTTTAACCATTCCTCTGCGTCTCCTTTTTTTTCCCATTTTAATTCTCTCTCCAGATCTGTAACAATTATATTATTTACCCTATTTTCTCTATCCATCCTCTCCTTCATGTAATCTATTTCTTCCCTATTATCTACTCCTTTTACTTCTACTCTTGTCTCTCTTCCTTCTATGTATTTTTTCATCTTATTCATCTCTTCTTCCCATCCTTTCATTCTTTCTTCCCACTTCTCTTGTCTTCTATTTTCTTCTCTTTTCTCTTTTTTCCTTTCCTCTCTATCTTTCTCTAATTCTTCTCTAAGTTTTTCCAAACCTCTCTCCCATTTTGCCTCTCTTTTTTTCTCCGCCTCTTCCATTCGTCTCATCATTTCCTCTCTCTCCCTCTTCCCCTCTCTTCTCAACTCTCTCATTTCTGCTAGTACTCTTTCAAATACATTGTCTTCTCCTTTACTCTCCCCCACCCCTATCAATGTTCTGTCCATTTCATTCCCTTCGTCCCCCTCTGTTTCACTCCCCTCGCTTTCACTTTTGTACCTTTTCGCCTGTCTCACTTCTTCCTTGTTTCCCCCTCTCATGCCCTCTTCGCTCTCTCTACCTCTCACCCCCTTTGCCTTCCTCTTATCCCCTTTACCGTCTCTCTCTCTCGCTGTTCCTGGTGTTGTAAATATCTCGTTCCTGTTTCCTATTCCTATTCCCCTTGCTCCCGCCTTAACTTTCTCTCTTGTTCCCTCTAACTTCGCCTTTATGCCCCTCTCCTACGCTCCTCTTTTCCCGCCTTCTGACTTATCCACCCTAACCTATCCTTTCTCTCTTTATTTCTTTTTCACCTTTCTTCCTTCACCCTTTATCTCGTTCACTTTTTCTCTTCTCCGAACGTCCTTCCACTCCTCCTGCACCTTTTCTCCACTTTTCTCTTCACTTCCTGCTCTCCTTCTCTCCAGAATCGGCCTATATTCAGCACTCACACAAGACACGTCTACTCTTGTCCAAGTCACAATATAACCTCCGTTAAAAAATATAAACGATAATATATTTCACATTTTTTAATGAATTTTATTAGCGTTAACGCTCGGCTTGGCGGGATGCTCTCCCCCAACTACGTCCTGCCACTACCGCACTATATTTTCGTAGCGCGCGATTAGAATACCTGTCTTTTTCATGCGTATATAATGAAACCGTTTCTATACAAAAAGAAAATTTAATTACAGTTTTGATTGAACAATGTAATGAGTCAATCACAATCTCAAAATTTGCAAGAGCAATTCGTTAATACCCTTCGAACTTTGATTTCCATTATCTTGGCATTAAAAGATCGTATTTCTAAATTTTAAAAAAATTTTTTTGTGTACGTTGTATTAAAATATAACTCTTCATTAGTGAATTGCATAAAATCGCAATAATTACTAATATAATACTAATAGTAGTACAAAAATACAAGGTATCCCATTTTAAATGACGAACCTGAATATCTCGAAAAGTTGATGTACGAAAAAATTGTTCAGACGAAAATTGTTCAGCACAGTGGGGGTCATTTACATGTCATTTCAGTGTTGACCTTAAATTTTAATTTCAAGATCATTTGAAGATCAAAGTGATTTTTTTAAAATAGAAATCCCTATATTTAACACCGGATTAAAAACAAAAAGGAAAATTTTATGATCGAAATGATATTAAAAAGATCCGATATTAAGGTCAAAGTTAAGTCAAAATCTGAAAAAAACATTAAAAATTGTTTTTTATGATTTTGGTATGAAAAATGACAGTTTTTCATACCAAAATGGTCCCAAAACCAAAATTAATAATCAAATGCAACCATTATTGCTTTAATACGTAACGTGCTGTCTTGATTCCCTTATAGTTTTCTTAAATGATAAAATTTGTAATAATGGAAAGAAGGGAAATAGTGAGAGCTGGAAATTTACTTAATTTTAATTATATTCAGCAACGTTTCGTTAGCACATTTACTGACCTCTTCAGGCTTTATTAATAGAGAAACAACAAATTATTATCAATAAAGTTGCAAATGTACTTTTAATGGCATATAATTATATGTACATGAATGTACCAGATTTCTCTCGTAGTCAAATTATAAGCTAAAACGAACAGCTCGTAGCCAGTCACGTTACAATACAGTAGGAATCAAGTATTTCAACACACACACACACATATATATATATATATATATATATTCTTCATCTATCATCCCTTCCTCATCGATCTTAATAAAGGCTTATAAATATGACTAAGATATTGTATATCCTCTTTTCTATTTAATAGTACATTACGATACAAGTGTCTGAAACGATGGATTCTGAAACGCTGCGCGCGCTCATGCTTCACGCCGTGCCTGATTCATCGTTTCCGACACGCGTATCGTATACTATTTTGTAGCACGAGTGTCTTAAATGCGCCAGATGAGTCTGTACCAAAATGAGTTTTATAAAAAATGATATTTTTTTAAATAAAATCTGAAATTTAATAAGTAGGAATTAAAGAACATTGTCAACTTCCAGTGCGTTCTAATAGTCATTTTTTCGTCGTTCTGACAGTCATTTTTTCGTATCGTGCGGCCGATCAGTCTTTGTGAATAAAAATACAAGGTGCAGCAAACAATAAAATAATAATAATAATGGAATAAAATAATAATAAAATAATAATGAAAAACTGCACTATTACTTATGAAAAGTGATGAAAGAACTTAAATTATTAACTCTATGTTTCAATTAGACATAGTTTCATCAAATAAGTGATTTTTCCATTTTGGGCCTCATCGGTCAATTTTCAGATAATATGCTCTATCTTCAGATGTAATCAACGAATAGAGCTGAAATTTGATTTCATATTTCAAACCATTGAAAGAAGGTAAAAAAACTTTCAAAAAGTAGAATTTTTATAAAATTTTTTATGTCGCTGAGAAAAAAGTTGATTTCAAAATAACGTTAACTAACTAGTTTTTATACTGGTTAAGGTAAGGCCTTTCAAATAAAAGTATTGTATCACATAACAATGATCAATTTTCTTCATTTTCATAAATTTTCTAAAAACATTCACTATTGATAGCTGCCAAACAAATGCTAAAAAACGTGGCGTCTTCATACTTGAAACATATGCTTTAAAGATTGTGTACTTTCTAGTACAGTGATATTTTTCGAGTAATTGCCCCGTCAAGATGATCACTTGTGGGACCACCCTCATAATGTTAGACTAAGTTTTTTGGGATAAACTAAAAGATTTTTCAACTCTATTGGCTTAAGCAGGCTTTTTGGCGATCGAGTTGCGGATAATGCTAAGGTCCTTACACTCGCGTACCGGAGAATAGAGTACTAGTGTATAATCACACAAACGGTTTAGAGTTACAAGCGGGTACTACCGAGTGCTAGTAAGGATTATGTCCATTGATATGATCGTATTTTAGAACATACTACATATTTAAAAGTTTAGTTTGGTGCTTAACGGTGGTTATAGAAACTCCTGTATCTAATGTACCAATGTCATCTATAAGCGCAAGTGGTATTATAATCGAATAATACTCATCCAACCATGTAATTTTCAACCAATGATTCGTATGTAGATTATTATTATATACTCACTGCTAAGTTTGTCTATATTCCTACAAATATACCAGAGAATTTTAATTTGCAGATGCTACCCATACAAACTTTCCAAGTTATTATTACTTATTCGTTATTTATTATCATGGTCATATATCCCATGATACGCTGTGTTATGTTTTACAATAACTTGCATGTGCGAATCGTTATTTCCTTAATATTTTTACTTCATTCATTTCTAAAAACCGGTAAATTATGATATTGTGTTGAAATAGATAAGTAGTTTGGTTAAAGCCAGATCCAAGAAAGTACTGATATTTCTTTATAAATTAGTAACGATTCATTGAGAAAACATGCACTGTTATATTTCAAATAAATCAATAATATTTTATGTACATCCATAGATTGCCCCAGCGTTATATAGTTAATCACAAAATGACTTCTTATACTCTTAAATAATTACTACTTGTCCGCATTCAGTCCTAATTATTATAATTTTAAAAAAGTCTGTCGTAAGCATATATATACTTGATTGAGAAATTTATTATATTTAGAAAATATACAAAATTAAAAATAATTATAAACTTTATACATTTTTTAGACCTCAAAATACAATAATACTTTCAGGCTAATGATCAATTTATAGCAGCTGGCATGGTCGATGGAATGATAACAGTCAGACAGAAAGAAGATGCAGATAGGAAATGGTTGCATGCTAATAAAATATCATACCGTTACGAGGGAAGCAATGTATATTATTCTAACGTTGATAGTTATGTACAAGGAAGAACAAAAAAACTGTCATCCAAACATGATGTCTGTTTGAAAAAATTTCAATACTCTAAAGCTCTCGAACATGTGATGATCAATTACGTAACAAATAAATGTCCACATATAACAGTAAGTCTGCTTCAAGAACTGATTCGTCGAAAATGTCTTTCGCAAGCTTTAAATGGTCGAGACGGAAAATATTTAATCAACATGTTTAAATTTATAATACGTCATGTTGGAAACATAAGATATTGTCGAGTAATATTACACGTAGCTGATATTCTATTAGGTAAGCTTTGAAACTACAGCCTTTATTCTGGCAAAATTATAATAAGTATTTGTTATTTTCAGATCTTTGCGAAAATAAAGTAGAAGACGTTAGTTTTGCTCTTAAGAATATATGGAAATTATTATTGAAAAGATTAAAGGAAGAATTACATATGATTGCGTCATTATTGACTTTACAAGGAGCTATAGATATGATTCTCTCAGCCACCGAAATAGTAGATTCAACCATCATTAATTATCAACAAAATTTTACACCATCTAATTTAGCATTAGAAAATGTTATCTTAAACGTGTTTTAGATGTAAGGAATGTCCGATTGGCAGAAAATTAGATGATTAAGAAATATATACATTTGTTCTTTTTTCTCATCATTTTTTTGCTAATAAAACTTTCTAGCAGTGTTGCGACTATTCAATTTCATTGACTAATGCCTTTAACATTACTTGCTACTTAAAAATATCAAGTAAGAAAAGCGTCTCCACGTTCTCTAATAGTAACAAGTAGCGAAAAATTTGTTTAAATGGTCGGCTTAAATAAATTATGATAAATAACTTACCGTTCAATATCGACACAATGAAAGCAAAGGAAAAAAAAGAAAATATATTTATACGTTTGAAATATGCATATTTTATTTATACGTTCGGACTCTTGTTAAAAATATTTGAGATGCCCTTGGCGCTTTTTTAAGCCATCAGAAAAATATGATTTTAGAAGTTCCTCAAAATAGCCATTTGTTTGTTCATGATCTCATTTGACATGAATTGCTATCCGGCAAGCCATTTTTTTAGGTTTGGAAATAAAAAAGTCACTAGAGACTAAATCTGATAAATACAATAGATAGGGCACTAATTCGAACTTCAATTCCTAAATTTTAGCTATTACAATTACACAGGTGTATATCCATGCATTATCTTGATGCAACAGAATTTGTTTTTCTTGTTTAAATAAGGACAATTTCTTTTTATTTTCTCACTTATCTGGTCCAATAATGAATCATAATAATCTCCGGTAATTGTTTGTCCTTTTTATGAACATTCTATGAAGATAATTCTATGTGTATCCTAAAAAATAGTATTCATAACTTTGCCGGCCAAGTTGGTCGTTTTTGTCTTTTTTGGAGCTCGTTCACCTTTAACAATCCACTGTTTTGACTATTCTTTCATCTCGGAGGTGTATCCATGTTTTATTTACAATTATGAATGATCATAGAAATTTATTTTCTACATTTCTGCATTTATTTTCCACTATGAACAATCGCGACACCTATCTTACCAAAATTTTTTTCATGTCTAATTTATCACGCAAAATCGAAATGATAGTACCTTTTGGTACCCCCCATCATTTTAACTATTTCACGCAATTTCATTCTTCGATCACTCAATAACATATCGTGAGTTTTGTCAATCATTTGGGGAGTTCTAAATGATGTTCATCTTTTGTTGATGTATGGTCACGTTTCAATTTATTTACTTAATTGTAAATAGTTGCAAATGCAGGAGCGGATGTCATGAACTGCATCTAACTCAGCTTCGATTTATTTGTAAGGTATTTTAAATAGAAATGTTTTATCATTGTTAGCAGTTCATTTTTTTTCCATTATTAAAGGATAAACAAAAGTTATTCAATTTGATCGATGATAAAAATGAAACTATTCGATGGATCTGGCTGAAGCTTTCTAAGCACTTCAGTTAGAAGTAACGTTTGCTATAGCAACATAAGTTGTGATGCCTAAAGCTCCATCTCTTGGATTTTCTAAGGATTTATTAATACACCTTCATAATTTCCGAAGATAAATATTATCAAAACTATGAAAGAAAAAATAAAAAGAAATTTTAACTTTCGATTGGAATAGTATAGTTGCATCTCTTGCTTATATAGCTTACAAGGAAAACGACTGTCACTAAATGTTATTGAATAATCTTATTTTAACTACCATTGATTTAGATAAAATTATACCGGGTGTTCCAGACCATCCGTACAGCCATTTTAAAATCGAAAATTCGTGTTTTTGTGAAAAATGTTTCAGATGAAAGTTGTTTACGACAAAGGGGGCCATCTATCTGTATAATTAGTTTTGACCTTGAACATCGTTTTCAAGGTCATTTGAAGGTCGAATTGTTTTTTTTAAATGGGGACCCCTATTTTTGACATCGGATTCGAAAAGATCGGGAAATTTTACGCCCACAAAGATATTTAAAAATTTTTTTTCATGACCTTGAGAAGGTCGATTTAAGGTCAAATGCTTGAAAATTGAAAAACTGCCTAAAAGCGTTTTTTTAATTTTTAAGATATCGAAAAATGACCTGTACAAAATTTGTTCAGAACAGAGTGGGCCACCCAATGCACCAAAAACCTTTGACCTTTAACCTCATTTTGAAGGTCATTTCAAGGTCGAAGTGTTTTTTGTAATGGAAACCCCTCTTTTTGACCCCGGATTCGCACATAGCGCGAAATCCGACGTTTGGATAAGGTATTATGTTGAGTTTCGATTGATCCACGACGTGCTCCCAGTAGAATTTAATAAATTTAGCCCGAAACATTTTGTAAATGTTTCGCGAATAATATTGGGTCTAAATTTCACATGACCTTAGCGATGAACGTTCGGTTCTTCGGTTTCTTCCCCTGTGCTTTCTTCCTTTTCTTTCTCTCCCAATTGTTCCTTGAAGTGCTTATTCCATTCTTCTTTTCCTGCATTTTCATCTAATCCAATTCTTTTCTTCCTATTGCCATTCACTTTATCCCAGAATTTTCTTCTCGTCTTATCTTTTCTTATTTCTTCTGCCACTCTTTTCCCTTCATCTTCTTTTACTTTTCTTATTTCCTCTCTGTATTCTCTCTTTGCTTCTAAGTATTTGCCTCTGTCTCCTTCCCCTTTTCTTACTTTATTTAACTCTGCCATCACCCTAGCCCTTTTTATCCTACATTCTTCTCTCCGCCAGCTTTTTTTTGATCCTTTTTTTTCCTTATCTTCTTTTTTTTGCTGCGTTCCTCACTTTATTTTTTATCTCTTTCCATTTTTTCTCTCTATTGCGTCTATCCATCCCGGATACTCTCTTATACCTTCTTCGCTCCAATCGTCTATCACTCTTTCTTCCTCTTCTTTTCTTACTTCTGCTATTTTGTCTCCCAATTCCACTTCTACAGGTAAGTGGTCCGACTTTACCCTCTCTTTTATTTAAACCCTTTTTATTGCTTCATCTCTTTCCTCGTTACCTTCTAAATGATCTATCGTTGACATTCCTCTCGCTCCTATATATGTTATTTCTCCCTCTTCATCTCCTTCTTTTCTCCCATTCGTTATCACTAAACCGATTTCTCTGCGTTTAACATTTTATCCTTGGCCTTATATCTTCTAGGTTTTTTTCTGTCTCCCATTCTCTCCCTTCGTTTCCTATTCTTGCGTTAAAATCACCTCCTATAATTATTGCTTTTCCTCTGTTCTCCTCTATCTCTTCGCTTAGGTATTCATAGTTTTTCTTTTTCTCATGTTGCATATACACCGTTGCTGTCATGTATTTCCTCCCTCCGATCTTTATTTCTCCCGCTATTACCTCACTTGTTCTTTCTTTCTTCCATTCAACCTTACCCATCCCTTTCCTCTCTCTTGCCGCCATTATTCCTCCCCCTATTTCTCTCCCCCTTCTTCCTTCCCTTCTTGAGTCTCTCCACTCTATGTTATATCCTTTCAGTTGCTTCTCCACCCCAGTTTTTGCCCCTTGTTTCTTCACCCAGGTTTCGGCTAGCCTTATTATATCCAATTCCCTAACATATTCCGAGTCGTCTTCCTCCATGCTCCTAATCCCTGCCATGTTCCAGAATAGTATCTTTACTGCCTCTCTTCCCTCTCTCTCCCTTCCCTCCTCTCTCTCTCTTTTTTCCCTATTGTTTTCGAAACCCTTCCGTCCTTTTTCCTACCATTTTTCCCTCTTTCTCACTCCACCATCATTCTTCTTCCTCTGACTTCACCCCGTTATGCCACATCTTTACCTCTTTACCTTTACTTTTTATTTCTTTCGCTTTCCTTTTTACTTCCTCTCTTATCCTTCTCTGCTTCCACGTCCAGTCCTGATCTATGTATATCTTTTTCTGTGCCAGATTCTTTTTCTTCATAATTCCTACTTTTTGTTCCCATGAAGCGCATCTAATTTGCCACATGTTTTTCCTTCTTTCTCTTCGATCATCGCTCTTCGCTGTTCCTCCTATTCTTCTCAGATTCATTATCTCTCCTTTCATTTCTAGTACCTTCCTTGACCAGACCTCTGCCTCTTCCTTCTTTTCCCATCTTAACTCACCCTCTAAGTCTGTCACTATTATATTGTTTAACCTACTTTCTCTATCCATTTTTTCTCTCATATGCTCTAATTCTTCCTTATTGCCTACTTTTATTCCTCGTTGCTTCTCATTTCCTCCTTCTATACTTTCTTTTAGTTTCACGCACTCTTCTTCCAACTGGTTCACCCTCTCTCTCCATTTTTCCTGCAATTTCTTTTCTCTAAGTTCTGCTTTTTCCCTTTCTTCTTTCATATCTTTTTTCCTTTCTTCTCTCTCTCTCTCTCTCTTGTTATCTTCTAACTTTTCCTATTTCTTTCTCCTATCTTTCTTCTCTTCTTTTCCCCTCTGTCTCCATTCTTTCCATTTTTTCCATCATTTATTTAAACATTTCTGTCCATTCTCAACTTTCCTTCTCCCATACCTCTGTTAAATCCCTTATATCTGCCCGTATCTTTTCCATTATATCTTCTGCTCCACTACTTTTTCCCACTTCTCTTATCGTGTTATCGAATCCTTCTTCGGCCTCCCTTTCCATCTCGCTCCCCTCACTTTCGCTTTTGCATCTTTTTGCCTCTCTCATTTTTCCTCTAATATTCTCCCTCAGCCCCTCTCCACTCTCTCTTCCTGTCACCACCTTTACTCTTTTCTTCTTTTCCTCCTCTGGGCCTTTCTTATCCATCCTTCCACCTTCATCTCTTAATTTTTCTGTTGTCACAAATCTTTTCATCACTATCCCGTACGCCTTAATTTGTCTCTCTACTTATACCCGTGATTTCACCTTTATTCCCTGTCTTACCTTTTCTGTCTCCGCCTTTACTTTTTACCGCCCCTCATTTCTATTTGCCTTTCCCACTTCCTAATTTTCTCTCTTAACCTCAATTTTCTTTTTTTTCTTTATTCTTCTCTCTCTGCTTTTTCCTGCTCTTCTCCAATCGCCTATCTCTCTACTCCACTTCTCTTCCGCCTCCACGCTCTTTTCACCTCTATCTCTCTCCTTAAACACTTTTCCTCTCTAACTTTCTCACCAAAACTCGCACTCACAGTCAAGACATGTCTACTCCCTTCCACGCGTCGAAACTGTCTCGCCATAAAATTTAATATTTATGAATTGAAAAATAAACTTATGCTAT